GCATTTGGTAGCCATTTTAAGCACGAAGACAAGTCCAGAGGTCAAATTTTTTTTTCAAATTAAAGTACATTACATTTGCTTTAATTTAAGATATATATAAAAGTGTCAGACCTTCCGGAACACTTTCAAAAGTTAAGTTGAAAAAGTTCTACTTTCTATATGCATTTTTTATATTTGAAGCCCCCCCATATATAGGGAAATAGTCTGATTTAAAAAAAAAGTATATCCAATGAAAGATGTATATAAATACTCCTTCTCATGAAAAAATTGTATTGATCCATACATTTTTTAAAAAGTTATAGCACTTTAAAGTAAAAAATGTAAATTATAAAATCGAAAATTTTCACACAAAAATAGCATTCGGTAGCCGTGTTCACCATGAAGACAAGTCTAGAGGTCAAACTTTTTTTTTTCAAATTAGAGTACATTACATTAGCTTTAATTTAAGATATATATAAAAGTGTCAGACCTTCCGAAACATTTTCAAAAATTAAGTTGAAAAAGTTAATTTTTTGTGAATTAGTTGTCATTTTAAATCCCCCCCTGTGGGCAGAAAAAAGGTCAAATTTACAAAAAAAATATACCAAATGATAGGTAAAGACATCAAGCATCTATATAAAAAAAAATTATATTGATATGTTCATTTTTGAAAAAGTTATGACAGTTTTTAGTAAAAAAAATTGAAAAGATTTCGAAAATTTGCGATTTTTAAATTTGTAATTTTTTTGGAGGTTACCCCCATTTACGGGGAACGAGGGAAATTTTTTCAATTTTGAAGGGTAATGTCTTCGACTAGATACGATTTGTGATCTTTTGACGTATCGTTGAAAGAAATCCGTTCGGTGAGAGCTGAGAAAAAGTGGTAACAGACACAAAAAAAAANCGTATCGTTGAAAGAAATCCGTTCGGTGAGAGCTGAGAAAAAGTGGTAACAGAAACAAAAAAAAAAACACATCATAGTAAAACCAATACCTTCTCAGCTTCGCATCGAAGCTAAAAACAGGTGGTTGAATACAATTAAGGTTGATATGAGGACTGCTGGTGTGAGTACCAAGTGGAAGTTTATGATTGGGGTGGCTGACTACAAATAGTCGAGATAAAGGCAAGACAGAAGAAGTTAGTAAAGTCTCTTGTTTTTTTAAGTATAATTAATTAAATAAATAAAGGCATAATAATAAAAATCTTGAATAATTAATGCATTTACTTTTTTGAGGGTAAAAACTTATTAATACTCCAAAAATCTCTTATTTTCTTTACATTTAAAAGATTTGTAATCGTTATAGTTCTAAGATTTAAATCCAATATATTTGTAAAGTCACTTATTAATTTAAAAAAAGCTATAAAAAGTTCAAGATTGTTTTAAGACAAGCTGTTTAATAGAGTCTAATTAATATATTTTCCGAAGTACTTTATGTACTATTTCAAGACATATTCTTTTATAAAAGTTAGATATAATAAACCAAACGTATATTGATCATATTACAATGAGGGTTCACTGAAAAAGCTTAAAGACTGAAATTTCATTAATGAGTTTACAAATTATTTAAAAAGTACTTCAGAATATACAAAATCATATCAAGTTTATTTAAAGTGACACCGCATTTTTCAATATTTAAATTCTTTTTCGAGCCTTTTCGCAAAAAAAAAAGTATAAAACTTTTTGAAGTTGAGCTATTTTTGAACTTTAATAACGCCATTGTTAATTTGACATTATAGTAACAAGAAAATACCAAGGAGTAGTTTATCGTTGACCTGTTGTAACAAATTCACGTGCCTCGTAAATATATTTACTTGCTTTCTTATTAAACAATAGCAACTATACAATATTAGCAGTTTTACAAATATTATACATTTTATTGAAAAATGTATATATATATATATATATGTATATGACTAAAAAATCATATAAACAAATTACAATAAATAAATTATTATAACTAGTGTTACAATAATATTAAATGACTTATTTGTTTAACAAAAAACAAGTTTATATCCATTATATTACTAATTATAAAACAAATAGCGAACATATTTTAATTTATTATAGTTAAGTTAATTAACTTAGTTTAATAAGTATATATAATTAATTATACTATGCTCCAATAAATAATTATATAATTATACCTTATTTTTGTTGAATAACAAATTAAATTTGCAAAGTTGATATAAATTTTTGCTGTATTAGTTGTACCATTTTATCGTGTTTCCATATTTGAGTTCTGTAAATAATACAAAAAACAGTATGTTGTCTTAGTAGTATTATGCAAATATTTGTACAAAATAAATAATGTAATAGAATGAAAACTTTGAAATAAACTTGACTACGCCAATTAATTCATGTTGTTTCTTTAAATATACATATGTTTTTCAAAGTTATTACATTTTTTCATCAACTATTAGAGCTGGATAATTTCATATTTGTTTAAAAAATTAAATAAAATATGATTAATTTCAATATATATTTTGTATTTGAGTTATTAATATAATATCAATATAATTTATGTTTAAATTATATAGAATTATTTTTATTTAGAATAATGGTTAGAAATAATTAAATTATTAAAACTCTTAATAAGATTTTTAGGTTAAATTCATTTTTTAATACAGAGTGATTCTTATACTCTGCGGAATTATAAGATTCACTCTGTATAAGAACAACAATCAAATATTACTGTATTAAGAGAATATAACCACTATAATTAAAAAATTAATAATGCTATGTAAACTCTATTTACCATCGTTTTAAGCAATAAAATAGAATATTATTAATTTTCAAATAATTGATTGATAAAATTATCTAAAAAATAGTTATTAAAAAATTTAGTTTATCCGAAATTTTGAAATGTTTGTAATTATGGAAAGTATTAATTACACTATTTGAATGAAAATTACATTTTTTAAATTCTTATAATTAGTGACTCTTTTTATTTTTGAGTTATATAATCACAATTATAAATTAAATAAAAATATTTCATAGTGAAAAATCTAGCTATTTTTTTGAAAAACCACATTTTTTTCCAAACAATTGATTTAAAAGTTGTTGTCAACCATTCAATTTCTTAAATAAATTATTTCCTATTTTATAAACTAGTTAAATATCTATGTTTTAATTAATATAACAAATATTTATGTTTGATTATTAGGTTACGTATAAATAATCAATATATATATATATATTTTTTAATTAAAAATAAGTTAAAAATTTTCTACTTTCTATAAGCATTTTTAAGTTTTGAACCACCTCTGGTTAAAGAAAAATAGACCGATTTAAAAAAAACAAGTATATCGCATAAAAGAAGTGTATAAATAGTACGTATCATTAAATAATTGTAATATACATACATTTTTCAAAAATTTATAGAATTATAATATTAAAAATACAAAAAAGAATTTTTTTAAAAAATTTACTTTTTTTTTTATTAATTTTGATATCCGTTTTCACCATAAAAATCAAATAAAGTCAGACATTTTTTTTCTCATAATAAAGTATATTATATAAACTATAATTTAATATATATATATAAAAGTGTCAGTATTTCCGGAAAACTTTCAAAAGTTAAGTTAAAAAAATTAATTTATTGTGAAAAAGTTATCATTTTGAATCCTCCTGTTGGTAAGTATAGGGTCAAATTTACAAAAAAATTATACAAAATGATAGATAAATATCTAAAGTATCTATTAAAAAAAAATTCTTTCTATTCATTTATTTTTCACAAAGTTAAGGAAATTTTAAATAATTAAATTGAAAAAATGTCGAAAATTAGCGATTGTTAAATTTGTAATTTTTCTGGAGATTTCCCCATTTACGGGGAATGAGAGAATTTTTTTCAATTTTTGGGGTAATGTCTTCGACTAGATACGATTTGTGATCTTTTGGCGTTTTGTTCATCAAAATCGGTCCAGCGAGAGCTGAGCGTTCATAGACACAAAAAAAATAAAAAAAAAACACAGTAAATTAACACCTTCTCAGCTTCGCATCGAAGCTAATACTTATTATTTAGATTATATACTTTTTGCTTATTAATAATAAGTGGGCGTAACTAACAGGAGTAATGCAGTAGCCCAGTCTTAATTCACAGCAAACACAAACATCTATAGACGTTTCAAATTAGAATACGGATAGAATATACGTACACCAGTAAGAGCTATATTCACCCGTACTGCATAAATATATTTTAGTGTTTGTAACCCAGTAAATACTTATATTAAGTATTAATTAGTATAAGTACTTATATTACTACTGAAAAAAGTGCTAACAGACACAAATAAAATTAAAAAAAAAACACATCATAGTAAAATTAATACCTTCTCATCTTGCCATCGAAGCTAAAAGTATAAGTAAAGTTTTACTAAATATTAGAACAATAAAGTATTAAATAAAAATTGTATTAAAAAAATAAAATCTAAAACAAGAAATTTGAAACCCTTTGTCTAATAACTTTATATTTTTTAATCATAATAAAGACTTTTAAAAGATCCATAATATAGTAATTTTTAGTTAATAAAGTTTATAGTATAAAATTATACAAAAACGGAAGCTCAGAAAGGTAGGAGAAAACAACAGAATCGGAAGTTTAGAACGAATTATTGATGTGCGTTATGCCAATTCATGCCGAGCTTAGAAAAGACAGGTAGAAAGCATCGAGCTGTGAAATCGAAAACCGTAAAACAGGTGGTATACTAAAACATAAATAATTTCACTAGCAAGAACTACAAGCTCGCGTAACATTAAGAAAAAATTAATTGCACAGTAACAGTTTATTTTTATGGATTTTCAACCAATATTTATATCTAATAACGTGTTTGCTTTTCAAACATTTTGGAGTATTTTTGAAGTACAATTGAATTGTTTACTCCATATTAAACGATAAAATTTGAAAAGAAGATAAGGACTTCTAAAATAAAAAATAATACTTCAATAATAAAAATATATTTATATTTCCTTCATAATAAAGATGTGGTTTATAAGATATGTTTTGCTATGATGATATATTTTACAGTCTATATTTAAATAGTAAACTAAAAGTAGGTTGTTAAATATTTTTAGATTTATATTTTAAGTGTTATAAAACATTTCTTATTGAAAAATAATAATTGAAAATCTTCGTTGAATGTTAAAAAAACCGAAGTTGAGGTAAAAATGTACCTTTTCAATAAAACGTAAAGGTTAACATTTTTCTTGCAATAAATTCATAGGAATGTACTTCTTAGCAACTGACCCTTAAGCATTTCTTGAAGGTTACTTAAAGCCGTTTATTAAACAAATAATTTTTATTAAAAATTAAAATTATGTATGGGTTTAATATTTTTATTTCTATTGTTATCCTAATGAATACTAAATGCAATTTTTACAATGTTATGTCATAAAATTATTCGAAAAATAAATTTTTTTATGTAGATTAGTAAATATTGATACAAAAAAAGCATACTCTTACATAAATATTCCTTTAAAGGGAATTTTTACATATATTTTGCATATTCACTTTAACAAAAGTGTGGTAATACATTTTTAGTGCCATTTCTATGAAACCACAATTTTTATTTTATGTTTACAATCCATTATATACTTGACTTGATGACTTTCTTTAATTTAATAATTGATCATTATGTATGTATAAATAGTACGACATTTTCAAGTATTATACGAGGTAATCATTAATGCATGCAAATATTTCATAGAGTATCTTTTGAACGGTTAATACTTGACGAATCAAATACAAAGGAAATGCCTGTTTCTGAATCATAAAATCTAATCTTTCATAGTTCATTACGTTAATTATTTACTATACCCTGGGTCATGCATTAGTGTTGATTGAAATAGACTCGTTCATGCGATTAATGATCTAGTGTACAACAAGTTTAATCACCAGTATTATGCTGGCAACAAGCTACATTATTATTTGCAATTATTATCATTTTAGATGGATTAAAATGTCATCAGTATGCCTCATGTATAATTTTATGTAAGCTTTTTGCTAATTATTTTAATCGAATTAAATGTTTTTTAGCTTTGGTACGAAGCTAGAAGGTATTTTAATAATGCTTAAAGTACAATAAAAAAAATTGATTTAATGGATAAAATTAAAATTTCTATCTTCAAAAAAACTTCTATCTTTTAGCCAATATATTTAAAATATTTAATATATATATATATATTTAACTGATTTGCATTGAAATTAGATAATTATAGCGCAAAAAATAAATCTTAAATAATGGAAAATTAATTTTTTTCTTAGTATTTATAACTAGGTTTAAAGTAGACATTGTCATGGTGACTAAATGATAAAAAATTTACTTTTAATTATTTTTGTAAACTAATTTCAAAGGTTTTTTTTATACGAATAAATGACGTTTGTTGTCTTTTTATAGAAACTTTCAACCTAAAAAAGATTAGAGGTATTTTTTAAGGCAGTTTTAAATTAAATACATCTTTTTTTACAGTATCAATACAATGTTAATATCTTGTTAAATAATTTTTTAATGTTCATATATATTTAAATTTGAATATAAATTATATTTAAAAATAATACATTGTTATTCATAAATTTAAAAAACGAGTTTTTTATAAGAAATTTATAAACAGCACTCCGAAATTTTTTTTTAAATTTTGATTATGTAATTTCGAAAACGCTAATATTCAAATAAATATTTTAAGTTCAATTCAAAGCTTAGTTTATTATTAAGCCACTAAAAATTTAATGGAGAGGGTCTAAATATTAATATATTCTACCTGAAAATGATTTTTTTTATTGTTGAATTTGTTTAAAATTAAATTTAATTAAACTTTGGTATTTTCAGAAAGGCTTAAATAAAATTCATAACAACTAGTTCCGTTTTAATACGATTTAACAAATTAAATTTAAAAATATCGAATAAACTTAATATCAAAAGAATTTATAATTGGTTTTGATACATGTCATGACAGGTATGACAGTTATTATTTTTTTTTGTGTCATACGTAGTTGTTACATGTCAAATGATTCTCCGAATAAAATAATTTTGAACAAAATGGTTGTATACTTACAATATAATAAATCACATAAGTATACTAAATTGAAATTAATGTGGGTTTATTTCTTCACAATATTGTATTTAAATACTTGTTTAGTAAAAAAATAATGTTATTTTCCATAATATTTATGTAACTACACTTGGATAAACATTATAAGATAAGTATAAACACTGTTTAGTGTTTGTTGGTTTTTATTACTTTATCATT